GGCTTCCTCCGCCCTCTCCTCTTCTGCTCTCTTGGCTTCTTCACGCTGCTTGGCTTCCTCAGCGTTCCTCTCCTCTCTCTGAGGTGGTGCCGTCCTGCGTGTGGTGATTCCACGCCCGTCAGCTGCTTCAGGTTCCTGCCGGGTCGGGGCAAGGATGGGGAGTCGACTCGCCACTGCGAGCAATTGACTCGCCACGTTTCGTGGAGGTTTGTTCATCCATCTGGGCTCGTTGATCAATTTTCTAGGAAAAGAACAGCCTCAAAGCACTGGACCCCATCTCGCAGTGACGTCTTTAAACAAGGGTTCTTGCGCAGGATCTGATCGCTGAGTCCCTACAAAGGGTGTCTCCTGCGATTCGGTCCCAAATATTCAATAATTGGTCATGCATGCCACCATGACTGACACGCCCTGAAATGTGTGGCACGACGCAAGCAGTCTAATATAAATTAGCGTGATCAAAACAACACTGCGGATGGTCCACTGAAACTAGCAACACTTGACATCAGTCCTCCAACTGCCACTCAATTCTAGACTCCAAGAAAAACTTGCTCAAAATATATGTAGTTTCACATCAAGAGTAACGGTGGGTCTGATCAAACTTCCTGTTGTTTTAGTTGTTTGGGTTTGTCACACACCAACCGTTGAAAGTTTGGGTCTTGATCCCACGGGGCAATTGAATGAACCCGTTTCTTCTCTACACCAAATACACGAAGACACCAACAAAAGAATCCAACCATCCACCTGAGGATGTTCTGAATCATTCTAAAATTGAGGAGTTTGCCAACCAATGTCCTCCAGCGAATGCTCTTGAGAAGCAGCGACCGTTCTCTTGGTCTCTTCTAATGGCGCAGCGGCTGAGGCTGAGGCTGTGAACGAAGCTGCCTCCTGCGGCTGTTCTCCGCATCCCCGCGTGGAACAAAAATCAAGGAATTAACAAACATTTTGTCGGACCCAAAACTATTAGTGAGAGGCAGCCTTTTGGTTTCACCCTCAACATGTGTTTTTATCACCCTGCCCTCTTCTTCCACACTCAACCCTGTTCTGTTCAGTAACCTTTTTCTCACCCTCTACCCACCCTTCCAGGTCCGGAAGGTTCCTGTACAGCTGCCGGTTCGTTTCCGGAGGTTCTGGGGTCTTGTGCAAGTTCTGGGGGGGTTACCTGCCTCACCGGCGGAGGATGGAAAAGAGATGGTGGAGGGTGCAAAAGAAAGGGTGAGAGTGAGAGGTGAAAAAAGCAGTGCAAAGGGCGAAAAAGACTTGGTAAAGAGTGAAAGAGAAAGGGGTTGATGATGGTGAACAAAAACACAAGAAGGCTCCAAGGGGTGAAAGAAAAGGGTTCTCAAAAGTGAGAAAGAAGGGTTAGTTTTGAGGGTGGAAAGAAAAGGGATTGTGAAAAGAAACATGGTCCAAGGGTGAAAAACGGGAGCCCTTTTTGGTGGTCTAAGTAGGTTGTGATCCACACCCGCACTTCAGCTAAACGAACAGGAAAACTCATAGTTTCGATGCTGACTGAGCAGCCCTAGGCCGCTTCAGCGACAAGGATTGGTCCACTGGTCGGGTTGTCACCGTTCCCTCGCCTTTCCCACCCACTCGGGTACGGCCGAGGCGTTGGGTGCGCCACCGGTGGGAGGGTGGTCCGAGGGTGTTGATCCGTTCGGCGCTCCGCCACCCGCCGGTTCCACGGAGAGGGTTCACCTTGGAGAGTTCACCCTTCAGAAAGCCGTTCATGTCGCTCCTGCTCTGGGTAGCCAGCGTCCTTGGTGGAAGGCTCTGGGACCGTCCAACTGATGCAGTGCGGGGAGGCAAGCATCAAATGGTGGGAAGTCGAAGCAAACTCAAAACCAGGTTCAAACATGCAGTAACATAGAAGAATCTGGATTGAGGATCTGGTTCAGCGTCCGACTTTGCAACACCTCCTTCTCTGTCCTGCTCGTTTTCATTGCCATGGTCGCCGAAATTCCGACGCCACACTTCCCTCACCTGGTCGTGACGATTCCCCCGTCTTGGGGCTCATGAGGCGTTCGACCACCAGGCCTTTCCGCCAATGCGAAGGTCAACGTCAACCATCGAGGAGAGCGTCCAGACCATGACGTCCACAGACATGTTCGGAGACGGACCATTCACCGAATCGATGTTCCATGTTACAATTTGGAGGAGCCCCTCTGTCCCAACCTGAAGAATTGGCAAAAAGCTGGTATAAACCTGGAACCTTCAGGTTTGAACCGGTTCCAGAGAACAAAAAATCGCGGAACCTGAGTCGAGGCACACATGCGCCCGCAGCGGAGCCCGAGCGCAACCTCAGTAGAGCGCATCGGGCCTAGTGGATGAGCTCATGTTTTCCTTTCGACCACCGGTCTGTCATTTGGAGAGACAAAGCCAAACATGGGGCATCGCATTGCCATGGTTTGTTTCCTCTTTATCCATGCTTGAATGAGTGAGGTGCTCTTGCGAATCACTTGAGACTCAAATCGCAAGCCGGTACAAAAACCTGTTCTGAGCCTCAGTTGCCTGGATGCACAATTGCTTGAAAAGTGTGAGACACCTCCTTTCAGATCTTGCAACTCCAAACCCAGCTGTGCATTTTGAGCCATTCCCAGCCATTCCCAGGCCCTTCGCCCCATCTCCCCCATCTCCCCATCCTTCGCACCGCCCGCGCCGTTATCGGTGCCACGCCCCGCCTCCACTGCTCGGCCGAGCGCATCGCCGCGTTCACCTCCCGCACGTCCCGCAGCAGCTCCATGCGCCGCGTCTCGAAGACCTCGCGCGGACGACGCACGGGGTCGTGGTTCGGCCTTTAGCGGCCCGGGAAGGCCCCGGAAGTGGTGCTGTTTTTCACCCAGATTTCAGGATTTCATGGTCCAAAAAGAACAAGAAGACTTGAGAAGACTTTGGAATGTGCTTAATTGTCCCCTCTTTTGGGACAGAGTGAACATCGGCCACAGGACGCTATTGTTTCGGCCCCAGTGCGGAGGTGAAAGAAAGAAAGAAAGAAACCTCTGCCTACCATAGCTGTCTGGAAGTAGCCACCCCACGTCCCCCTATCTTTTCCACCAGCCACCCCACGTCCCCCTATCTTTTCCACCAGAAAACATCCAGTTTTTGTAGGCATGATGATGTTCACCACCAAACGGTGGTTGTTCGAGCATGTTCCAACCCCTCGAACAAAGGACGATGATGTCATGTTGGGGTCCGTTTGGGTGGAGCCTCTAGCCTCCAACTCACCGCTGAAGTGGGGAGTTCACACCCTCTTGGTATATGAAAGCTCCATTTTCCGAGTTCTTGTCCCAAAACTGCAAGACCAAAAGGGTTCTTTCTCGGTCTAGCCGCCTGGCGAACCGACGAAATGGCCCACCTCATTCGAGGCAAACTCCACCACATCGATCTCTCCAAACTCCTCCAGGCATCCATGGGCGCTCTGCCGCAAGCCCTGCCGGCGCTCAAAAGCAAGGGAAAACCAATTGTACCTATTTGCTACCAAAGTAGCGATGCCCTTGTTACTAGAAGCTATTTGCTACTAGTAGCGATGCACCTTGCTACTAGCTCAGAACATGTTTTTTTTGTTGCAGGTTCTTATTCTATTGATCAGATGTTGCAAAGACCGATTCAGAATGCTTTTGCAAGAGTCCAAATGTCGTGTGATGCGTCCTTTTCACAACCTTTTCCCGAAACATGGCAGTTTTGAAAAACCATTTCTTTCTATGGGTGTGAAGCTGTTGGCGTATAAGTTCACAGTGGCACAGCATGTTCTCCATTCCGACATGTCACCAGTTGTGTGTGGAATGCAACAGTTTCGTTGTCTAAGGAACACCGTGTTGGAACCAAGAACTCATTCGTACAAACCTTAAAAAAAAAAAGTCACATAAACAAAATACTGAATTGAATACAGTAGACTTCTTGGTTGGTTTTGAAGCAGTTTGTGTTGCATAGTTGTATAGTGGAAAGATTGCCCGCACTGTGGAAAACAATGGAAAACATATTTTCCATTACCTTCTACGCGACATGTTGAGGTTTTTGCATCTTATCCTCCAAACCTGCTGAAACCTGCTCCAATCCGAGGTCGAAGACCTGTAATCAAAAATGCGTGGAGGACGATCCATGTCGATCCTGTTCTCTTTTTCTTTTCTGGACAAGAACGCCCTCCCATCCCCTGCCTCCCCATCCAACAGCCCCAGCATGAAAAGCTCCAAGGCAGCACCTTAGCGACCCCAAAAACTCTCCCGAAACGTTCAGGGGCCAAGCCCACCAGTGGGCATGGATGCCACTATGACTATGTGCGACCTTTTTGGAAACTACAGTGGCTTTAAGGGCGGTTCCATGGCACAAACCACCCCAAGAAGTTTTGAAAGGTGCGGTCCATAGAAACCACCGAACGAACGGGGTAACTTGTGCCATGGAACCTCTGTACTCTGTAACCACACGGAGTGGTCACGTGATGGCAGTGAGCATGTTTGTTCGGGGTCCGAAGGGCTCAATTCCCTGGCCAACCCAAAGGACGACGACGACGACTACTGCTAGTCCTACTCCTCCTCCTCCTCCACCTCCTCCTCCTCCTCCTCCTCACCGCTACCGCTACCGCTACCCCTACCACTACCACTACCACTACCACTACGACTACTACTACTACTACTACTACTACTACTACTACTACTAC